TAATAATTAATATTACCTAATAGAAAGCACTATTATATTAAAAATAATTTATTGCAGTCAAGTAGGGTCCATACCAGGGATTAAGCACATCAATAGTGGAGAAGTGATTCAGAAGACCTGTCTTGCCTTTTTTTTTTTTTTTTAATTCATGGGAAAGAGTTCTCTCCGTTGATTATGCTTCATAATTCATTGATTCAACTATGCCACATTCACACCTGCAGAGCAACCACTGTAAAAGGGCAGTGGCAAAGAGGAACTGTATTTAGACAAATCGTTTTTTTCCTGAAGCTGTACTATTGAGCAAAAGTTCTGCCAATGTTGATCAGGTTCTGTTACCTGAATATTTGATAATGGTGATGCGTTTCTGCCATAATCCCACACATTTGACAATTTCCTGTATATCCTACAGTATTAGAAAACCCTGATTTTTACTCATGTTTGTTCAATAAATACTTGAGAAAAGAAAAAAAGGTGTTTTTAGTCTGGCATGGTAGTGTATGCCTGTAATCCCCAGTGTTTGAGAAGCTGAGGCAGGAGGATGTTTGAGGCCAGCCTATTCTGCATAGAGACCCTGTTCCCCATCTCAAAAAAAAAAAAAAGTATGTGTGTGCAAATGCGTTCACCCATGTTCAAGCATGGACAGAGGGCAATAGTGGGTGTCTTCTTGTATCACTCTCCACATTAATTTTTTCAATCAATTAAATTTGTTCTTTTAAATTTTTTTGCATTACTAATTTATTGTTGTATGTGGGATAGGGGTGCATGAGTCTGGAGGTCACAGAACAACTTGTTGTTCTGTTTCCACCTTATGGGTCCCAGGGGTTGAATTCAGGTTGTTAGACTTGGCGGCAGGTGCCTCTACCTGCTGAACTATCTAGGTGGTCTTTAAATTTATTCTTTGACAGTTTCATACATGTACAGAATTCATCCTGATTACTCTTATTCCCCCCACACACCTTATTTCCCTCCCACCCCTTTACCTTAACAGAATCTGTTACTGAACCTGACGCTCACTGTTAGCAAGTTTCCCCCTAACCCCGCATCCTTCTGTCTTTAGCCCCCCAGCACTGGGATGACAGATCCCACATCCAGCTTTTATATATTTAATTTTTTAAAAAAATTTATTTGGGCCAGGTGTGGTGGTACACGCCTTTAATCCCCCCCATCTCAAAAAGACCAAAAAAAAAATTTTTTTTTATTTGGGTCTAGAATGATGGCTCAGCAGTTAAGAGCTCTTGCACCCACATGGTGGCTAACAGCCATCCATAATTCCAGTTCCAGGGGAACCAATGCCTTCTTTTGGCCTCTGTGGGCATTGCACATGAGTGCACTTCTATGCAGGCAGTACACTCATACATATAAAATAAAAATATTTTTAAAATAAAAAAGATTTGTGTGTGTTTGTCTGTCTGTGTAGATGTCAGAAGAGGGAGTCAGATTCTCCAGAACTGGAGTTGTGAGCCATCTTATGTGGGTGCTAAGAACTGAACTCTCTCCTTTGGAAGAGCAGGAAGGGCTCCAAATGGACAGATTACTTCATGCTTGTAGAGCAAGCACTTTAAACATGGAGCCGTCTCTGCAACCCTTCCTCCTCCCAAATTTAAGTAGCGTTTGAAATTGTAGTAGGTTATAATGCAGCTGTAGAGCACTTAACACACACGTCAGATTTTTCTAGGTCCCCAAACATTGCTAAAGAATTAGGTGATTGTGGCATTGTGAGTGGGAAGATTATTTGAGCCCCGGAGTTTGAGACTAGGCCTGGGCAACATAGCAAGATCCTGCCTCAAAAAAAGTTCCAATTGATAATTATTATTTGGTCTTTTTGAGACAGGGTCTCGCTGTAACCCCAGCTGGCCTAGAACTCACTATGTAGACCAGGCTGGCCTCAAACTCACAGAGATCCACCTGTCTCTGCCTCCAGAGTGCTGGGATTAAAAGCATGCGCCACCATACCCAGCCCCCTATTATTACTTTGAGTGTGCTACACATGTATACACATGCATGGCATGAGGTCAGAGACAACTTTCAGGATCTGTTCTCTCCTTCCACTGTGTGGGTTCCAGGAATTTAACTCAAGTCATCAGGCTTGGCAAGCAAGCACCTTTACCTGCTGAGCCATCTTGCTAGCTGACTTACTAGAAATATATAGATGATATTTCTGTTTGATGGAAACTTAAACTTGATGAACTTCTAACACCCTGTCATTGTCATCCAAGGGTTTTGCTCTGTGACCTTAAACCCTGTCTGTAAACCATGAATATAGATTTGTTAGTATGTCATGGTTTTAGCTGGCATGACTTTTGTAGTGCCTGCAGATCTCTTTCTCATAAACCACTAAAGATTCTTTTTTTTTTTTTCTACTGATCCTGTTTGATGTCTCTCTATAGCTCTAGTTAGGCTCAGAAAAATTAGATCCCAGGTAGGAACATACTGAAGAGGAGAACCATTGGGGGTAGAAACGTAGTGTTAAATATTTTTGATTCAGTGGTGTAATTGAAACCTTTGCCTAATGTCTTGAGTACCTTTCAGTAATAGCCTTCTAGTATTATTTTCCCCATTCCATCATGTAGCTAGTCCTACCCTTGCACTCCTTCATATTTCTTCAGGAAAGTTGCAGACATTGGCAGTGCTATTGCGACAGCTCAAGGCAGAGGGCCACCGGGTGCTCATTTTCACCCAGATGACCCGAATGCTGGATGTATTGGAGCAGTTTCTCACCTACCATGGCCACCTATATTTGCGTCTGGATGGCTCTACTAGAGTTGAACAGAGACAGGTAACTTAAGCACCTTCAGCCCTTGTGAGACTTCACCTCAGCTTCTCTCTCTTCTCAAACCCTGAACTTAGAGAAGGGATCCTATTAAACCTTTGATTTGATTTGGAAATAAGTCTCTGAATACCATCTTGGTTTTTTTTTTCTTTCCTTCTAGGCCTTGATGGAACGCTTCAATGCAGATAAACGCATATTCTGCTTCATCCTTTCAACTCGAAGTGGAGGTGTGGGTGTGAACCTGACAGGAGCAGACACTGTTGTTTTTTATGACAGTGACTGGAATCCTACCATGGATGCTCAGGCCCAGGATCGCTGTCATCGAATTGGCCAGACTCGAGATGTCCACATCTATAGGTATTGCCTAGTCTTCTCTCACCTGATATCCTCTTTATTTTTAGGGTGTCTCAATATATTTCACTGTTTATATCTCATTTCCATTTCCTAGGCTGATCAGTGAACGTACAGTAGAGGAAAACATTCTTAAAAAGGCAAATCAGAAGAGAATGTTGGGAGACATGGCCATTGAGGGAGGCAACTTCACTACAGCCTATTTTAAGCAGGTATTTAAGTCTGGGCAGAAGAAGAGAACTTGTATTCCCAAAGGAGTTCTTCCTACTTACTAAAGAGTTGCTACTTTAGCTTCCACAGACTTGTTTCTCAACCAGAGGCACTTTATATTTCCAGACTTCAGTTACCTAGGGGTAATATTCCATTCACTGACCTCTTCGCTTCTGTTGTATCTAATAGCAAACCATCCGAGAGCTGTTTGATATGCCTCTGGAGGAGCCATCTGGCTCGTCTGTACCTTCTGCTCCTGAGGAGGAAGAGGAGACTGTGGCCAGCAAGCAGACTCATATTTTGGAGCAGGTGATAAAAGAATGGGCAATCCTAAAATAGCACTGCTGCCTAGAGTATTTCTTGTCTCTTACTAGTCCTTTGAGTTTGTCCAAGGGAAAGTACAATTTCTGCTGACTTCCAGATTGTAGTCAATGTTTCTTAGGGTTTTGGGGGTGGGGCGGAGGGGGGTCTTGTTTGAAATAGTCTTCCTGTAACCCTGGCTGACCTAGAACTCACTGTGTAGACCAGGCTGGCCTTGAATTCACAGAGATCTGCCTGCCTCTGCCTCCCAAGTGCTGGGATTAAAAGCCTGCACCACTACACCCAGCTTATTAGTTTTAAGTATGTGATACTGGTTCACATGATCGAGCAGAGAAATAATTTGGAGTTCTAGGTGTTTTGATTGCAGCAATGCTACGTTTTTCTTTACTCTTGAAATGGGAGTCTTACTATGTAACCCAGATTGGTTTTAAACTACTGGCTTAAGCCCTTCTGCCTCAAGTAGCAGTGCTTTGCAATAATTTTGTTTGTTAAACCAACTTGGAGATTTTTACTCTTGTGAGCCTCATATTTCACTTTTCTGAAAGGCTAATGTAGCAACTCTTATAAGTGGTGTACTACATATAAAAACAATGACTTGGGCATGATATAAAACACTGGTTTTCAACCAGTTGTGGTGTTGCATGCCCTTAATCTCAGTAGAGGCAGGGGGAGTTCTGTGGGGTCAAGGTCTACATGGCACATTCCAGGCCACCTGGAGCCATACCCCCCCCAAAAAAAAAATATTTTAAGACTGAGAGTCTTGCCATAAAGGCCAAACTGGCCTCAAACTTGCCATTTTCTCCAGCTTCCTAGCTAGGAAGATGTAAAAAAATTAATTCATGTGCCCCATCTCAAAATCTACTAAATCATAATTGTTGTGTGTTAGACCTAAGTCAGCACTTTTATTCTTTTCAGAACTGTGTAGACATAGACAGTTTCTACCTTAAGAACCCTAAAAGGGGACTGAAGAGAGGGCTCAGCAGCTAAGAGCACTGCTGCTGGTAGAGGACCTAGATTCGGTTCCCAGCACCTACACAACAGCTAACAGCTCTGTAACTCCAGTTCCAGGGGATCCAATGCCCTCTTGGGGCATTGCAGGAACACAGGTGCACTTATATATATGTATATATGTGTGTGTGTGTATGTATGTATGTAGGCATAACACTCATAAGCATAAAATAATAAAGTATTGAAAAAAAAAAAAGAACCCTGGACTGGCATGATGGCTCAGTGGTTAAGAGCACTGGCTGCTCTTACAGAGGACCCAGGTTCGAGTCCCAACACGCACATGGCAGCTAACTGTCCTTAACTACAGTTTCAGGGGATCCGATGACCTCTTCTGTCCTCTGGGCACTGCGTGACTTGGGTATACTTACATACATGCAAGGCATAACATTCATACACATAAAATAAAACTAGCTGGGCATGGTGGCACACGCCTTTAATCCCAGCACTCGGGAGGCAGAGGCAGGCAGATCTCTTTGAGTTCCAGGCCAGCCTGGTCTACATAGTGAGTTCCTGGCCAGCTGGGGCAACAGGGAAACTCTGTCTCAAAAATACCAATAAATAAATAATTAATTAATTTGAAATAATAATTCTTTAGAAAAAAAAATCCTAAGAAGGGAGGATTTTGCTCTTGATAAATGTGTCAATATCTGGTTCAAGATTGTCCCTGAACTCAATATCATGGATGTGTCCTTGTGATAAGTCCATAGTAGCCCTGAATATATCAAGTTTATTAATGAAAGCAAGGGAAGAAGCGTTGCCCATTTTCCATATAGTGGGATTTGCAGGTTGTAGTTACATCTCCGGAGTAAGGAGTAACTATGTGTAACGTTTAGGAAGCAGTTTACTTACTGATGAAAAAAGATAACTCAGTTACAGTCATCTGCCTTTGCTAGGTTATGCAGGGTATTATGTAGTGTGTTGTATAATTCTTTTTTTTTCCTATTTTATGTGTATGGGCACTGCATGTATGTCAGTGCACCTGTGCATGCAATGCCTACAGAGGCGAAAAGAGGGCATTGGATCCTCTGGAACTGGAGTTAGGGATGGTAGCTGCCATATGAATGCTGGGAACTGAACCCAGGTCCTCTAGAAGAGCAGCCAGTGCTCTTAACTGCTAAGCCATCTTTCCAGCCCCTGTTGTGTAGTTCTTAATAGAAAATACAGGTGTAGTGCATCATGGATTTTTACCTATTTAAATGCCTTCTTGGGCATATGCTATAGACTACATTTTTTTTTTTTTAACATTTATTTGGGAGGTGGGGTGGGCGGGGCACGTGCCTCAGTTCACATGGGAAGGTTGGAGAACAACTTATGAGAGTTGGTTCTCCTGCCCTGTGGGATCCAGGGATTGAACTCGGGTTGTCAGTCTTGACTGCAAATACCCACTAAGTCAATTTCCTGGACTTTAGGTTACTTTCTTTTAGCATGTTTGATGTGAATTCAATCATGAATGTTTGTGTGCATGTTAATGAAGGTGCTTGCAGAGTCCAAAAGAGGGCATTGTTAGAAGCTGTTGGGAGCTACCTAATATCAGTGCTAGGATAATGAACACTCCCCATTTTGTGACTTTGCTGGGGTCGGAATCCAGGGTTTTATGCATCTAGGTAAATTTTCTGCTAGCTATACTCCCAACCCACTCCTATTCGTTACTATTTTTTGGGTTTTTTAAAAAGACTTTTACAGCTTTTTTTTTAATATTTTTATTTTAGGTGTATGCATGCATGTAGATAAGTGCACCTGTGTCATGCAGTGCCCACGGAGGACAGAAGAGCTGTCAGATCCCCTGGAACTAGAGTTACGGACAGTTGTTAGCTGCCATGTGGGTGCTGGGATTCAAACCCGGGTCCTCTGCAAGAACAGTCAGTTTTCTTAACCACTGAGCCATCTCTCCAGCCCTAGTTTTTGTTTTTTTTTAAAAAAAAAAAAAAAAAACTGTACAACTGACTCTAATGGAAAGGAAATAAAGCTGGGAGCCTTTAAATTGTCATTTGTCCCTAGTGAGAGATCTGTTCTGTCATGTGTGGGCTATAGAGTTGCTTTGATAACTCTGGAGTTTCAGAACATTATTTAACGAATTCAGCTGCAAATCTGGTTTTATATAAACTTGGCTTCAGATGTTTTTGTAAGAGCCTAGTCATGCCAGGAGTGGTGGTGCATACCTGTAATCCCAGCACTTGGGAGGCAGGGGCAGGTGGATCTCTTGAGTTCAAGGCCAATCTAATCTACATCACAAGTGCTTGTTTTACGTCTTTGAGACAGTCTTGCTATGTCTCTGTGACTGGCCTATAACATGCTGTATAGAGCCTGCTGACCTCAAACTGTTTTTGCTTTCTGATTGCTGAGATTATGGGTATGTGCCAACATGTCTAGACAAGTTTTCTGGGGTTTTGTGCCTTTAATCTCGAGTTTCTGGGGGTGAATGCCTTTAATCTTAGCACTCAGGAAGCAGAGTCAGGTAGATCTCTGAGCTCCAGGTTAGTCGGGGCTACATGGTGAGATCCTGTCTCAAAAAAAAATTTTTTTTTAAATTATGTAACTGAATGTGGACGTGTACATATGTGCCACAGTGTGCTTGTGGAGGTCCTAAGACAACTTTCAGTTCTTCCACTGTGGATTCTGAGGATCAAACTCATGTCCTCCTTAGGCTTACTGGGCTACCATCTCTACCCACTAGCCATCTCCATAGCCCCCAAGTGTTTTTATTTGTATGCCCTTTGTTTTTCTTTACACCCTTGAAGGCATTGTGTCGAGCCGAAGATGAAGAGGATATCCGTGCAGCCACCCAGGCCAAAGCTGAACAAGTGGCTGAGCTTGCAGAATTTAATGAGAATGATGCTGGTGAGGGAGAGGAAACTAGTCGGCCTGGGGCTGAGGATGAGGAGATGTCTCGGGCTGAACAGGAGATTGCTGCTCTTGTGGAACAGGTCAGTGTTGGACCCAGTGCTACTGATCTTCATCATAACTTACATCAGGGCACAGAACCCTTTTTTCCCCCCTGGTGATAATAAAAGTACTAAGCCCATGGTTCACAAGTTCCTGTGTTGATCAACTTATTCCTCCCTACAGCTGACTCCCATTGAGCGCTATGCCATGAAATTCCTAGAAGCTTCATTGGAAGAAATAAGCCGAGAGGAACTCAAGCAGGCAGAAGTAAGTCTTCCTGGAGAATGAGGCTTACAGTGGGAAGCTGCTAATTTCTACTATGCTTTGCTCTGCTTGTCTCTTTCTGACCATCTTGGGCTGTGTTGTTGGTAGGAACAAGTAGAAGCTGCCCGAAAAGACCTGGACCAAGCCAAGGAGGAGGTGTTTCGCCTACCCCAGGAGGAGGAAGAAGGGCCAGGGGCTGGGGATGAGATGTCCTGTGGGACTAGTGGAGGCACCCATCGGCGCAGTAAGAAAGTCAAGCCTCCTGAAAGGCCAGGGACTCGTGTCAGTGAGCGTCTTCGTGGAGCCCGGGCTGAGACTCAAGGGACAAACCACACTCCTGTCACATCTACCCATCATACCTGCAATACCATGCCCCCTCGATGTAGCCCTGTGAGGGAGCGAATTCCTAGGCCGGTGCCTAGGCCTCGACCTGATCCTGTTCCTGCTCCTGCTCCTGCTCCTGCCCCTGCCCCTGCTTCACCTCCTGCCCCAGCACCAGCCTCTATACCCATTTCAGCCCCAAATCCAGTAACCATTCTTCCTGTCCATAGCTTGCCTACTCCCCCACTTCTGCCTCAACTTCCTCGTTCTCCTGCCTGTACACCACCCCCCTGTGACCCTCTATCTGCTTGTACCCCCTCACCAGCTCAGACTGCTCTCTTAACCTCTTCCTCACCAGTCCTGCTTGATTCCCTTTCTGTTCCTATCTCTCCTTCAGTCACCAACCTCCCCTTGGACTTGAGGCCTGAGGTAGAACTGTGTGCACAAGAGTTGGCAACTATGGAGTCTCTGGAGCTTCCCAGAATGACCAGTTCTGAGGCTTCCCTGCTTGTTCCTCCAAAGGATCTTAGGCCAGTAGCTGTTGATATCCTGCCTGAGTCAGAGAAGTCTCTTCCTCTTCTCTCTTCTGCGCCCAGCCCGACCCTGGAGCCTAGCAGTGTCCCTAATGGTCAAGAGCAGGAAGTGCCAGATCCTGTGGAGGGGGCCAACCTCACACTGCTGCCTGGTAGTGAGGAGTTGCCCATGGGTCTGAGTGAGAGCAGTGAGCTGGAACTCCCACCTTCGGCAGCATCTGATGAGCCACTTCAGGACCTGTTGGAGACTGACAGGAACTTGGAAGAGATGGGAGAGGTTCAGACCCCAATCTCTAACCCAGAAAAGCCACAAGAACTTGTTACAGCTGAGGTTACAGCCCACTCAACCTCTTCTTCTGCCACCTCCTCTCCTGAGGGTCCTTTGCCTGCTCGGCCCCCACGGCGTCGTACAAGTGCTGATGTAGAAATTAGGGGTCAGGGGTCTGGCAGACCAGGACAACCTCCAGGCCCCAAAGTACTTCGGAAGCTTCCAGGACGGCTAGTAACTGTGGTGGAGGAAAAAGAACTTGTGAGGCGGCGGCGGCAACATCGGGGAGCTGCCAGCACCCTAGTACCTGGGGCCTCTGAAGCTAGCGCCAGCCCAGGAAGCCCATCGACCCGCAGCGCATCAGGGCCAGAATCCTCACCTCCCAGCAGTGGGCCCTGTGAAGCTGCTACTTCATCCTCACTGCCCATCCCAACCCAGCAGCCCTTCATAGCTCGTCATCACATTGAGCTGGGGATGACTGGTGGGGACAGCCCAGAGAATGGAGAAGGGGCAGTGCTTGCCATCACTCCACCTGCTGTGAAACGTCGGAGGGGAAGGCCCCCCAAGAAGAACCGGTCTCCAGCAGATGCTAGGAGAGGGGTGGATGAGGCACCCTCATCCACCTCTAAGGGGAAAACCAATGGGGTTGACCCAGTCCCTGGGGCTGAGCCAGTAATTCTTGCAGAGCCTGTCCTAGAACCCCATTTTATTCCTGGGCCCCAGCCTCTTGGACCCCAGCCAATTCACAGACCAGAGCCCATCATCCTATCACCTGTGGAGAAAAGGAGGCGTGGGCGCCCCCCTAAAGCACGGGATTTGTCCATTCCCCGGACCTCTCCAGGGGATGGCGACTCAGAGAGTCGGACACAGCCACTCCCTTTCCCAGTACCCCTGACACCAGTTCCACCACTCCTACCCTGTCCCACTGCTGTCGCCAACACTGTCACCACTGTCAGCATTTCAACATCCCCACCTAAGCGGAAGCGGGGCCGACCCCCCAAGAATCCACCTTCACCTCGGCCCAGCCAGCTTCCTGTCTTGGACCCTGACAACTCTTCTGTTTTTGAGAGCTGTGGACTGGGGAGACGGAGGCAACCCCTGGGCCAAGGGGAGAGTGAAGGCAGTTCCTCTGATGAGGATGGAAGCCGCCCTCTCACCCGCCTGGCCCGCCTACGTCTGGAAGCGGAGGGCATTCGGGGACGAAAGAATGAAGGGTCCATGGTGGTGGCTGTAATCCAGGATGACCTGGATTTAGCAGATAGTGGGCCAAGTGGGTTAGAACTGACACCACCTGTGGTTTCGTTAACCCCCAAATTGCGTTCAACCCGTCTGCGGCCAGGGTCTCTAGTCCCCCCACTAGAAACTGAGAAGATGCCTCGCAAAAGGTCAGGAGCTCCAGTTGGTGGGAGTTCAGGGATGGCAAAGCGGGGCCGCCTGCAGCCCCCAAGTCCCCTGGGGCCTGAGGGTTCAGTAGAGGAATCGGAGGCTGAGGCCTCAGGTGAAGAGGAGGAAGGAGATGGAACCCCACGCCGCCGAATTGGTCCCCGCAGGCTCGTTGGGACCTCCAACCAAGGGGACCAGCGTATCCTGCGTAGCAGTGCTCCTCCCCACCTGTGTGGCCCTACCATTAGTCACAGAGGCCGAAAGGCCAAGACGTGAGTGGGCTGCCCCTCCACCTAAGTATCCCATCGTGGCTGCTTTCCCTCCAGGACCAGGCCTGACTCTGTTAACCACTACTTGAAGTCTTTGAGGGAAAAAGCCTACAGGGAGACAATAGGGGCCTTCTCCCTTTCCACCAAAGTAGGGGGTAGGTAACTGGTTGTCATGGAATGGGGCTCATCACAATCCCCCTTCCCTCCTACTCCACATGGCTGGGTAGTGTTAAGGGTGGCAAGATAGTTTCTGTCCCCACCCCCTTGTACTTGATTCCCCAGCTATCTTTCACAGCCTCAAACCCTTAGGGAAAAGGGAGGGGCTTCTCTACAATGAGGTGGGGTTTTTGGTTTTTTTGGGTTTTTTTTTTTTTTTTTTTCCTTTTTTTTTTTTTTTTTTTTTTTTTTTTTTTTTTTTTTTTTTAAAGAAGAAAACATAATAAACTTAGTTTCTGTACAAGCATCCGTGTTAGGAGGCTTCTGATTTTCTGGTCTGGTTGGAGGGCTGGGTGGGAACTTGGGCAATCATATTTCCCTCTTTCAAAGACCCCAATCCCAGATCTCTAATGGAAGATTGTGTACCTTTGAGGCAGAACTCTCCCCTCTCTCACCCAAGAAAAGGGAAGATTGGCAAATCTGACCTGGTAGAGTACTTTCTGAAGTGTTTTAAATCACCCAGGCATACTCATTTCCTGACTTAGTCTTTCCCTTAGCTCCTCCAATGCCTTAGCCTTCCCTTTTAGCCCTCTTGCTCAGGTGCTTCTTCACACTTTTCAGAAGGCAGGGATCCTACTCCATTTGTTTCATCCCATGGCCCTCTGCTCTCCATCTAGCAAAACTGGTTTGAATTGGCCACACCCCTTCCCAGCTCCCTGGGCTCTTCACATGGTGGCCGGCTATACAACTCTACCTTGGCTTGGCACCTGAGTCAGCTTCATCTCCACCCAAGCCAAATTAAACCTGAGACAGGAGCTGAAACTCACAATCCCTCAGAGCCTATAGGCAGGTAAGAACCTCTGTTCATGTTTATATCTTAGGAGCATAGCTTCCTGAACCCTCTTGGGCTCTTCATCTGAGTTCCTGCCTCTGCTTACCCTGCAGCTTTCTGGCACACATCCTTTTGCTCTCTTTGTTTCTCGTCTCTGTTTTGTTACTTGTGTTTGGGCAACCACAGGCAATTTCATTTTGTCTAGGCTGTAGATGAGTGATTGGATATGGGGGTGGAACGATATATAGAGGGCCTGAGAAGTAAGGAGATGAGAAATGAGTAGGGCATCATTATGCAGGTTTCTGTGGGTAATGAGGTCATTTGGACTGCTAATTTGTGTTGTGTGGTCTGAGTTAAAAAGGAGAGGTGGTGGCAAGAAGGCAGCATAGAACAGACCCCAGCTTGGAAAGGTACCTGATGCTCAGGGATTTGTTCTGGTTTTTGTGTGTTGTTTTTTGACACAGGTTCTCATATAGCCCAAACTGGCCTCAAACTCCCTCTGTAGTCAACGTTAACCTTAAATTCTTGCCTCCACCTCCTGAGAATTGGAACTACAGTTGTGTGCCACCACTCCTGGTTTAGGTTTTTAGGATTCTTTTAGTTTCATAAACTGAAGAAAAAATAGAGCTCTACGATTTTCCTTTCCTCCATCCCCATAACTGTTTTTATCTAAAATGGCCGAAGAGGAGTGCCAGGCCTAGAGTCTTCTCTGACTTCTCAGTACTCAATGGCACTCCCAGGGGAACTTTTGGGTCCTTTGAAATATAGTTTAAAAATCGGTCTTGCCTGTCTGCGTGGTGGCACACGCCTGTAGTCCCAACACGGGAGGCAGAGACAGGCGGATCTCTGTGAGTTCAAGGCCAACCTCGTCTACATAGTTCCAGGAGAGCTGGGGCTACAGGGAGACCCTGCTTCAAAAAGACAAAGAAAAAAAAAAAAAAAATCAGTCTTGAGCCAGGCATACTGGTATGCCTGTTATCCCAACACTTGGAGACAGGCAAGAGAACTGAAAGTTCAATATCTGCCTGTACTACATAGTGAGACCCTGTCTCAAAAACAATACAATTTTTTGAGATTCTGTGTATCTCCTCAGTATGCATGTCAATTTGCTTCCCTTGTCAAAGGAATAAGTTCAGGCTGGGCATGGTGGCATATGGCGCAATTGCCTTTAGTCCCAGGGAGGCAGGCTGAGTTCCAAGCTAGCTAGGGCTGCATAGTGAAACCCTGTCTAAAGCACATTCATACTTGCTTGCCTTTGAAGACTTGGAATCTTAGGCTGATGGAAAACATTCCAACCACATATTTAGTATCTTGGTCTGAGTCACTAGAGGAATTCCCCAGTAAGGCAGCATTCCTGCTAAGTTGCTAGGCAGCATGCTGAGAGGGGTGGAGTTACCAAGCCAGTCCAAGGAAAGGCTCATTTTGTTGGGCTTAAAAGTGCCTTGACTATCGCCCACAGGTGATGGAGGACGAGGAGAAGGCAGTTGAGAGCTTGGTGGGCAACACGGAAGCTGCTCATTCTCCATCTCCTATCCGCTGCTGCTGGCTCCGCCTCCGCTACTGGGCAGCTACTAGCATTATCTGTGGCTGTTCTTGCCTGGGAGTCATGGCTCTTGTGTTTGCCATCAAGGTGAGGAATAAAATTCCTGTGGAAATGGGTGGGTATAATAAGGCAGTGATTTTATGAATCTGACCTGTCTACTTCACTAAATGCCTGTCAGTTAGGAACTTACTGCCCGAATTAAGGATAATACTTTCCTGAGCCAGTCATTGTGGCACATGCCTTTAATCCCAGCACTTGGGAGGCAGAGGCAGGTGGATCTCTGAGTTCGAGGAAACTATAAGGACACCCTGTCTCAAAAAGACGAAAAAAAAAGGAAAGAAAATTTTCTGGCCAGGTGTGGTAGCACATGGTTTTAATCCCAGCACTGGAGAGGCAGAAGCAGGCAGATCTCTGTGAGTTCAGGCCAGCCTGAGGAAGATCTCAGGTGGTCTCATGAGCTAGCCATGACCACCATGAAAAGTAGGCAGGACTGAGATGGAAACCTTACTTTGCAGATGAGACATGATGACAAATTAGAAAAGGCTGTAAAATGCTTAGCTGTGAGTTAATGAGCTGTGATGGGTGAAGGACTTGAGTGGGGCAATGGGCACTTTGGGTTAGGGAGAGAATCTAACCAAGAACCTGCCCCCACAGGCGGAAGAGCGACATAAGGCAGGCCGATCCAAGGAGGCAGTGTACTGGGGGGCCCGGGCCCAGAGACTCATTCTGACCAGTTTTGCTGTCTGGATTGCTGTCCTTACTCTGGCTCCCCTGCTTCTGTGGCTGCTCTCCTACACCATCGCACAAGCTGAGTGACTCTGGATGGTCTCTGCTGAGAGTCGGGACCTTCTGGATCCAATCCAACAGTGCTACAGTGCTCAGTTCTGGTGACAGCACTGGCCCTTGTCTGGAAGTGTGTTGCCTTTCTCAAGGGCCTTTGGAAGCGCTCACCTAGCCTTTTTAAAAAAGCACCTGAAACTGAGGGGAGGTCAGGCTACTCTGTTCTTTAATTGTCCTCTACTTTCTGTCTCCCACCTAGGGGCTTCCATTCAGAGGAAGGATTGAAGACCAGGCTTGATTTTATTAGAATTTGTTTTGTAATAAAAGCCTTTTTTGGTGATGAAATATCCTTGTCTAGTTCTTTTTTGTGCTTCCCCCTGGACTTTTGGTGGTAATCTGGCTTCTAATCTCTACCTAGTCTCTACAAGAGAAGAAAAGGTTTTTTTTACTTCTGGAAATTTTCCTTGATATAATCCAGCTTCTTCCTTATATATTAGCCAAGACCCCAAGGTCAGACAAGAATACTAACAATTCCAGTGCTGTTGAATATTTACTAGTACGCTGTGCTCCAAGCACTATTATTTTGGTCTTCACAGTGACTCAGTAGTAGGTACCATTGTTCTTTATAGCTGGAGAAATGTGTACAGATTTGTTCAAGGTCCTTCAGCTAATAAAAAAAAAAAAGTAGGATTGAGCCAGGCGTGGTGGCGCACAACTTTAATCCCAGCACTTGGGAGGCAGAGGCGATCTCTGAGTTCAAGGCCAGCCTGGTCTACATAGTGACTTCCAGGAGACCCTGCCTCCAAAAGACCAAAAAAAAAAAAAAAAGTAGGATTGAATCGAGACAGTTTGATTCCAAAGCTAAGAGAGGAGTAAAAAGATTGGGTCACAGGAGCATCCCCCCTCTATATGGACAGTTGTATGATTAAATTAATTTTATGTCCTTTATCTTGGAACTCCTGATGAGATATTAAACTGTTAAGAGTTTATAAATGTACATATAGGGAGTAGGGTAGGTATCTGGTCTTTTATTAAATCTGGCTGTCCTCAAAGTTGTGTAGCCAAGGCTGGTTTTGATCCTCCCTGCTTCCACCTCCCAAGACTGGGGATTACTGGTGTGTGTGCCACCATGCCTGGCTATTGTTTTGTTTGGTTTTGTTTTGTCTTGTTTAAATGACAGAATCTTACTATGTAATCTCAAACTTAAGCTCTTCCTGCTTCTGCCTCCTGAGTGCTGGGATTGCAGGTATGCATCATCACACTCAGCTTAAACATTTTTTTTTTTCTATCTGAAACATCCTACAGGCAGATTCCTCCCAAAATATACAGTTTAAATTAATACATAGGGGCAGGAGACATGGTTCAGTAGTTAAAAGCACTGGCTGCTCTTGCAGAATACCCAGGTTTGGTTCCCAGCACCTACATGGTGACTAACAACCATCCTTAACTCTAGTTCCAGGGTATCTGCCACCCTCTTATGGTAAGTATCTGTAGGCATTTGCATCTGCAGGCCTTGCTGACACAGGTATACTTACATGTAGGCAAAACACTCATAAAATAAAATAAAAAATTTTTAATTACCTGGGCATAGTAGTTAACACCTTTAATTCTAGCATTCAGGAAGCAGAGGCAGGTGGATCTCTTTGAGATCAAGACCAGTCTGGTCTACATAGTGAGCTCCAGGTGGCTGGGGCTCCAGGGAGAGCCAATCAATTAATCAATCAGTCAATTAATCAATCAAATAAAAGCCAGACATTTGGCTCACACCTTTAGTCCCAGCACTGTGGAAGCAGAGGCAGGTGAATCTGTGTGTTTAAGGCCAGCTCGGGCTACAAGGAGACCCTGTCTCTAAATAAATGAATAAATAAGGAGACCCTGTCTCTAAATAAGTATGTAGGTGGCTGGAGAGATGACTCAATGGGTAAGAGCACTTGATGCTTTTCCAGAGGACCTGAGTTTGATTCCCCGAACCCACATCCACCAGCTCACAACTGCTTGTAACTCCAGCTCCAGGGGACCCAACACCCTCTTGTGTTTGGCCTAAGTGGGCACCTGCACGTGTTTTACACACACACACACACACACACACACACACACACACACACTTTTTAAAGAAACTAGATGCTGGGCATGGTGGTGCACACTTTTAATCCCAGCACGAGAGGCAGAGGCAGGCGAATCTCTGTGGGTTCGAGGCCAGCCTGGTCTCTATAATGAATCCAGGACAGCTAGGGCTACAGGGAGACCCTGTCTTGAAAAGAAAAACAAAAAAAACAAAAAAAACTGTAGAGATTGAGTCATGTATTATTTTTGTTTTTGCTCCTAAAATTGTGTTCTGTATTCTGTAAGCTGTAGTTTTCATTGCTACATATTATATAAAAATATCATTTGTTCATTTTCTGTGGTAGGATTTTGGAATGTTTTTGGTTCAAGGATATTATAAATCATGCTGCTGTATGTCTATTGAGTACATGAGCCTCAGGAATGGAATTTTGCTTTACTGTAATTCAAGGATCAGCAGATCTAAACAAATTAGAGATATGCACACTGGTAAGAAAGGAAGCAACACATGATGGCTGTCCTCAGTGTTCCAAAGTGCCCTTATGTTGTGTTACTTTTACTGATGAGACTTGAATGACTTATCTAGTCACCTTAGATAGGACACCAAGAACAGACCAAGGAAATGATTCAAGTCTAGCTTGATGAACCAATGAGTTTATTTGGATTAGTGACAGGAACATGGATGACTCTAAAGTAGCTGTTTCACTGAAAAGTCTGCTACTGCATAGGCAACAGCTCCCAAAAACTGCATCCCTGGAGTTCCCTGCCCAACATGTAGGCAGGTCCACCAAAGAGTTTTCTCCCCAGCAACTGTTTACCAATAACATAGCCTTGGAGAAAGGCTTCACAACTTTCTGAGCTTCCCAAGTTTTATTAGCTTTCTAAGTCTTAACCTCCTCCATTTAGGGGAGAATCTTTCACTTAAGCTCTTCCCTTCAGTTCTTTTTTTTTTTTTTCCTTTTTGGGGACAGGGTCTCCCTGTAGCCACCACCACACCCGGACTAAAGCCTACCGCACCAATTCTTATTCTACATATCTTTTCACTTTCAGTATAGTCTCTGAATTTTCAAGGGACTGTTAGAGATGTCTATTTTCTTTCATTTATAGGTGAGAATTGAGTCACATGATATAGCAACAGTCACTTATTTTCAGTAGCTTCACTGGCTTTGATTCTGTCATCCACTGCAAAAAAGTTTCCTTTCATGACAGACTGACCATAGCAATAACTTATGGGTATAAACCCACATTTCAGAGGGAAACTTGATAAGCATATTGTATGTATTTAATACAGCAATAGCAGTAGCCTCCCCACTGGAGCCTATGACTTCTCCAGCCACAAGTTCTTCCCCAAGGTCCGAAACTGAACAGAACTATCAGCAACCATTTTTCTCTGGCAGCCAGCATAGCACCTTCAAGTGTTACAAAAGTCAGCCAACAGGAAAGGAGCTTCTAGCACAGTCTCAATTTTTCTCCAGGTCCTGCACCCAAACTGTGTGGTGTTTTCAGCAATAAAGGCAGCATCTAGTTTTGACATGCAACTAACAGCAGTGGCAGTGGCCTATGGTTTTTGGTGCTTCAGAGTCCTTTTTAGCCAGAACTCTGGGAATACAGTCCATCTCTGGCATTGAGAGTTTCAGCTAACAACCTTATGGCTCCAAAGAGTGTGTTTTTCCAGCCAGTCAGGGTGCCTCTGTTGAAATTTTTTACAGAGGGTAGGTAGGATCCCTGAAGGCTCATTCCAAGGAAATGTCATTTGGGCTTGTCATTCAGCATGTGATACTAAAAACATTAATAGCGAGGTGGAATACAGCATGAAAAGGTTCCCAACATTTGAATCAAGCACTTCATCAGAAGAGTAAAGTTGGGTACAGTGGCATAGATGAGGGAACACAGCTGCTACTTAACCCTCCACAATCCATATTTCCCATGAACCATTTGGTCTTATCTAGGGCATTGCCATTACGCTGCCATACCCTGAATGGTCTCGGTAGGGCCAACTTGCACAGCTTGGCCTGGCCCATAGCCAAGTGATAGTAGGGCCAGCAGAATCATGCTTTTTAGCCTGCTGTACCTGCCACTGGAGCCAACTCCGGGTCTGACAGACTCTGAGTTTGTGCTGTGGCCACCACCTCTCCATTGGTTACACCTGGCTGCTGAAAAGGCCGTATACTTTCTCATATGGGAGAAATGTTTTATGGGGCGATAATTGCCCACTGCTAGGACAAAATGTTTTTCATCTTTATTCTGCCATTTACACTCTTCAGCCCTTTGGTAAACTGTTGCTCAGGTGTTAGGCTTTCTCTAAGAAAGCTGCCTTGACATAAATCTTGCCACATTTGTCTCCCTTGTTTTTCAAAATTGTTACTACATTTTGCTTTATTTTGTGTGTTTTGGGGGAAGGGCTTGGGCCACAGCATGGTTGCAGAGGTCAGAGGACAATGGTCAGGAATCGGTTCTCTTCTTCCACATATGGGATCTAGGGATTGAACTCACATCATTAGGCTTGAGAGCACATACCTTTACCAACTGAGTGATCTGACCAGCCGTTTTTGTCTTTTAAAGATGGTCTATGTAGGCCAGGCCTACCTTGAACTAACTATGCAGTAAGGCTGGCCTTGAACTCCCGCCTCCACCTCCCATGTACTGAGATTATAGTCACGTCACCATACTCAGGCACACTTGTCTTTGAGTAACCCAGACAGACCCCTTTATCTGTCCTGTTTCATCCCCTTTGATTGTTTTAGCACTTTACAAACCTGATTTATATGCCCCCACCATGGGGCTCAGCAAAAGCAACTACAGCCCATACCAGTCTTGAGGTATCTGAATTAACGTTTTTTTAAATTTTTTTTTTTTTATGTGTATGAGTATATTGCCTGCATGTATGTGAGTGCGCCCGTGTCGTGCAGTGCCGCGGAGGTCAGAAGAGGGCTTCGGATTCCCCTGGAACTGGAGTTAAGGATGGTCAGTAGCCGTCATGTGGGTGCTGGGAATCGAACTCGGGTCCTCTGCAAGAGCAGTCAGTGCTCTTAACCCTGAACCATCTCTCCGGCCCCCGCGTCCAAGCATTTTAAGGTCGCCACCTGGCAGGAACTTTGGACCAGGGTCCGACTACAATAAAGAGGCGGCTAAGGCTGCCAGGAGGAAACTGAGAGGGCCTTACCTAAACCCAAGAACTACCGGATCCCGGGTGGCAAACTTCTGCGTCCCACTCCGGCCTCTGCGCCAAGTAGCAAAGTAGACGCTCCCCCAATTGGCTGTTCCCTCAGGCTTCGCCTTCCGGTCGAGGCCGTAGGTCGCACGGCGTTCAACCGTCCTACCAGGGCTCCCATTGGGCTGCGGGCTTCCAATCGGCAGAATCTCTGAGCCTCCTCTTCCAGCAGCGTTGGCCATTGGCTGCAGTCATGGGCGGAGCCATGGATCGCGGAGCGAGCCGCTTCGGGCTACAGCCGAGGTGCGTCCTCAGTCCGGGAGGTAGCCGGTCTTGGCACCTAGGGTGGACTGCCCCCCCCGCCCCTCCCCCGGACTCAAGACCCTGCGCCCCCTCCCCGCTGACGCCAAGTGCGCCTGCGCGGTACCAGCCGCCGGCACCCGTCCTATTTCCCCCTTCTTCCGGACACCTTTCCCCGCCCCTCCCTGCCCTGTCCCCTTCCCCGTCCTGCTGCCCTCCCTTCCCGTTGGCCCCTCTGCGGTCTCCTAGCCCTGCTCCTTTCCCTACCCCGTCCCCAACCCTCAGGACCCTGGCGCCCCAGCCACAGGTGTTGCGTCCCCGGGAGCCACGATGCGCGTCGTCCCAGAACCTGTGGGCCTCCCTGCCCTCATTGCCCTCCGTTTCCTCCACGCAGGCCCCTACATCCCTCAGAATGACGCTGGACGTGGGGCCGGAGGATGAGCTGCCCGACTGGGCTGCGGCCAAGGAGTTTTACCAGAAGTACGACCCAAAGGATGTTATTGGCAGGTGAGCTTTAGCCAGGCCTACGGAGGTCTGGAGAAGCCCGACCTAGCCCCTAGCCGGGATGCACGCACGACTCTGTTTGAGGGCAGGCCAGTGTAGCCGGGAAGTGGTTGGTGGAAAGCATTTTAAGACGACCAGAATTCTGCTTTAACTCGTTTCATGTCATTCAACGAACTCAGTTGAAGTACTAAGCGTGTACGAAACACAAAGCTAAACACAGGAAGGGTAGAAGATGTCTATACGTCAGATGAAGTGGCTGAAAGAAACACATGGACATTGCCAAGGTATTGGGCTGATACGTAGGGGCTTATAGAAAGTGGTTCCCCAACTTTCCCCAAAAAGAAACAGCTTCCCCAAGGGAGTGATCTTGGTACTGGTTCCAGTCTCTGTCCCTGTCCACCCACTCCCCAAACTCAAGTTGAATGGAGGCTTCATGCATGCTAGCTAAATGCTTTATGGGTTTTGGAGTATAAATAGGAGTCCAGCACGCAGAAATTGGAAGGAAGGCCTCACCTGTAGAAACAGTAGCAGACAAATTTATTCCTCAAAGATTCCCAAAAAGCCTGTGTGGCTGTTAATATCTGTAATCCCTGCACCTGGGAGGCTGAAGTATGAGGACTGTTTTGTTTTGAGTGGGTTCCAAGCTAGACTAAGTTACAGAATAAGAACCTATCTAAAAAAAAAAAAAAAAAGAAAAGCACTTTAAAAAATAAAAATAAGCTGGGTGTGGTGGCGTATGCCTTTAATCCCAGCACTTGGGAAGCAGAGGCAGGCAGATCTCTGTGAGTTCCAGGCCAGCCTGGTCTACATAAAGAGTTCCAGGTCAGCTGGGGGCTACTGGGAGACCCTGTTTCAAAAAGACCAAAAATAAAAATAAGTAAATAAAAATTAAGCTACAAAGCATGGTGGCACACACCCAGCACTAGAGACAGACAGGTGGATCTCTGTGAGATTGAGGCCAGCCTGGTCTACATAGTGAGTTCCAGGCCAATGGGGGCTACAGGGAGACCTTGACTCAAAAAAACCATTAATAGGGGCTGGAGAGTTGGCTCAGCAGTTAGGAACCACTAGCTGCTCTTCCAGAGTACCCAGGTTCCATTCCCAGAACCCACATGGCAGCAAACAATTGTCCTTAACTCCAGTTTCAAGGGGATCTGATGCCCTCTTTTGACCTCTGAGAGCATCACATGACTCAGGTGCACTTACATACATGCAGGCAATACATTCATACAAATAAAAATAAAACATTTTTTCAAAACCAATAATAATGTTTGTTGTGTTAGGCATTAGGGTTACTCAGTGAGGAGTGATGAAACCCCTAAAATTTCTGTCCTTCTGGCGTTTACATTATAAGAGTAGAGACAGGTAAAAAACAAGATAAAGGTGAATGTAAATATTAGGAAGAGGAAAAAAAAAAAAAAAAACAACCTGGGTGTGGTGGGGCACAGCTTTAACC